TCGGTGGCACAGTGGTTAGGACTCTCGCCGACCGTGCACATGGTCCGAGGTTCGAGCCCACGCCGACGCACACCTGATATCTATGGTCGGCCTGCGAATTTTTGGCTACCGATATCCACGCTGAAAATTCCATACTTGTACCAAAAATACGGTGTGGAATCAAGCTGTAATCAAAAATAAAAAAAAATCAAAAATCAAATCATTTTGGGTTGTGAGGGCGATTGTTACTTCCCGGTTGCCCACACCGTGGAAGTTGGTTGCGTGACCGCAGACCCCAGGGGACAACTGCTTGAGACCGGCCACACGCGGCCTGTTTTTGTTCGTTCTTTTTTGTTTGGTGTGTCTCAGTAGCAGATTTATCACTTCTGCCCTGTGACACGGCAGCAGGAAGCGCGGTCGTTGTTAATCCGGGCCACGGCCGATCCGGCATGAAATTTTGTGATTTTGTATTGGACATGATGTTGGATTGGGTAGCTGCTTTTTGTTTAACCGCTATCCAAACAACCTGCCTGGCATGGTAGTACCTCAAGAGACATAAGTCTCAGCCAGTATAGCTTGAATAGATCATTGCGGTGTTCAAGCCCGACCACCATGTCAAGGTAGCAGCTTTCGGTCGGGCTTTATAGGTACTTATTTTGTACCTATAAAGGTACAAAATAAGTACTGTAGAACAAAAACTAGTTAACCGAACTTCAACTGTAAGAAGTATTTGTGGATAAAAAAGAATCAAAAACCCTGTCGACAAGAATCATACACCAATACTTCGCACAGACAGTTCAAGATTGGAACGATCTTGATTTACTTAAACAGAATCACGGTCGTGAAACAATATATTATCAATGTATCATCACATCCACAATGAGAAGCATTAGAGATTAAACAGAGGAAAAAGACAAATAAAATACAGGTCAAGTCAACATCTGCTGTGCAAATGACAGAAGAACGAGATTTACAGTTTAGGAGAAAGACGGATAATAAGGAAGTCAGTTGAAACAAAGAGTATTCTTTTCGATAGCTTCGTCATCAGGTTCTACAGTTTTATATACATAGTAGTGAATGAATGAATTAGTGTTATTATTAACAACATGAATGTTTACAAAGATTCAATTCAATAACATGAATGTTAGTATACAATTGGTGGATGGTGGCTAGCAGTGGAATCCACTGCTATCCACCATCCACCAATTGTATACTAACTAAATGCCCAGACATCGTCGAAGCATCTGCACAAGAAGCCGACATGTCAACCTGAGACCGAGCACTTCGGTCCAATCAATCGACGGGAAAATCAAAAATTCAATTCAATAACATGAATGTTGTTTAAATAACATAGAATCAGTAGGCTGTTAGGATCAAAGTCCAGGGTTATGAATTAGTGGATAACAGTCAAGGTGATCATAATAATAATAGTAACAAGGATATATTCATTCAAGTGTTTATATAATCTAGGCTATGGTGAGAGCGTTTAGGTAGAATGTGTGTATACTAGTAGGGATGGAAGGGAAAATAACCATTGCCATTCGGCGATTAGATAACATAATAATAATAAATTGTGAAACCGAAGTTAAAATGTACACCTACATTACTACATGATATTTATAATACAATTAGCATTATAAATAAAATGAAATAATTAGATAATGTTCACAGTTATCCGGTGTCACTGGGAGAAATAACTATTCTAGGTGGAGGTTGAAGGCCACAAGAAGGAGGGGGATTGAACAATCTTTTTCTGAACACAGAGATTGGGTCGAAAAATTATCATGGCAACTGCCTCAGCTATGTTTAGCAACCAAGGACGTACCAACCTGGGAGAGAGTTGAGGTGGCACCTTGAATAGAATTGTATAAGCTGAATTTTTGTCAGTCTTATGCTCCGTATCCATTGGGTGTGCGCCATTGTGGAACTTCTAACTGACTCTACGACTCTTTTACCTAACCACCTTGGACAATGCTCCAGAAGTTGATGGTGTGCTTTCCGAGTCGTTCCACCTATGTAGCTGTCTCCACTTGAACAGTTAAATTTATAACTGCTCATTGAAGTGGCCAGATTCGGTAGCTGATCCTTCACCTGCGTTGGAACTCTACAACGATTGTCGAATTTTAAACACAATGTTGCGTCAAAACATGGCTTAGCTATTATTTTTCGAAGTTTTGATGCCGACAATTCAGTTACTGCTTCTCCTTTAAGCGGTGAAGTTGTGTATATACGTGTCTTTTGCACCGTTTGCAGGTCTTTCTTTCTATATGTTGTCCTCATGTAGACTTTAACAAATTTTTCTAGGTATCTGTTCTCATAGAGAGTAGGTTTTCTATTTTCCTTATTTCATCTCCCAGAGTGTCTATTGTGCATATGACTGATATTTCATTATGTAAGTGTAAAGTCTGATGAGAATTTACCTTAAATACGTATTTACTTAAATCGTGTTCTGTAATAATAATTATTATTATGGGTGTATTTAAGTTATAAATTCGACAAAACAGTTCTTGTGTGAGAATGACAAATTCAATATAAAGATAAATATACTATGGGGTAACAGACTCGATAATTAAGCAACGCTACAGTGTTGAATTGAGCTTTCATTAAGTTTTAGTTTCATACACCGTATAAAGTCTTAGATACTCTCTGGACGCTCAAATCCGCGCGTGTGGTTGTCGTAATGTACCAGTGATTTTAGAAGGGAGAATTTAAACCAACATATATGATGTTAAACAACGGTCATGTAGCATAATGCGACTACTACACATGGCACATTATAGGAACTCAAACTTCGCTGGAATATACCAAGCAAGACTGAGACTTAGATTTTTGTCTGTGTACTACACACATGATTGATCATTAAGGTTCGACCGGCTGACAACTGGTATCTTATCGTAGTGGTCGGGCTTGAATGCCACGATGAACTAACAAGCTACACTGTCCGGGACTTATGTTCTTGCGGGTCTTGCCGTGTCAGGGAAGATGTTTGGATAGAGGTTACACTGTGGAATACATTGGCTCCAAAATCCAGTCGGATCAAACGGCATATGAGCTTCTATTGGTTACCCGACCGATAGCTGCTACCATGACGTGGTGGTTGGGCTTGCACATCACGATGACCCAGCAAGCCGCACTGGCTGGAACCAAGGTTCCTGCAGGCCTTACCATGCCAGGAAGGTTGTTAGGATAGCGATTAGACTAAAAGCAGTTACCGGGATTGTGTAAGAATCTTTCTTACACTGTGCTGGGGGTCTGAGGGCGAAGTCGTACTGCTGGGGAACAGGGATGTAACATCAGTGAGATGTTTCCCTCAGATGACCATCATGCCAACCAGCTATGCTCTCTCTCCACTTTGGAGAGAGGGGGTTAGAAAAGGTCGACCCCAAGAATTATACATCCCAACTCACCCCACCTATGATGGTCCGTAACCGGTGGTAAGTTTACTAATACGGAACCAATCGCAGAAACCAGTTCATACAGGCCATGTGTGACTGGCATCAAGCAGTTGTCCCCTAGGCTCTGCGATCACGCAACACTTTCTGTTTCAGGTACCCGAAGAATCAATCAACTTCCACGGTGTGGGCAGCCGCGAAGTAACAACCGCTCACACACTTCCAAAAGCACACGAAACGTTCCTGAGCATCATTCTCCTTTACTGTCACCGGCATCCATGGGAATGTAGCTGCTGACGCCGCCTTGCTGATGTCAAAGGCTCGGGAGGGGGTGGTTCCCTTAGACAACCACCTGCTTCAGTCTGGATGCTCAAGCAGTGTCTCAGACTTCACGCAATGTGTAGCGCATTTTCTTGGTACCACATAGTACCAGGTTTTGTGTTGTAATTAAAAATTAATTATTTATCAATTAGAATTCGTTGAGGTATAAAAGACAGAGAGAGAGAGAGTGAGTGATATAGTCTATAAATCGCGTGTCATATTCATATCTAAGGTGATATTTCTATTTCCCTTTGTTTCATCATTGTTTCTACAGTAGTTTAAGTGGTAAAATGTTTTCAGTTTTATTTCATGTGTGTTTATAAAGTGTCAGAGTGTAATTTTCGCGATAAATGAAATCCTATGAAAGTGCTGAATTAAAGCCTTAGGACGTTTAAAATAGGCATATGCATGTTTTTGAAATTTTGTGTAGTTCTGTTAGCTTTAATATTCGATAGTGCACTTTTCATCATTAGTATTAATTTCATTTGAAAAAGTGATGTGCGCGTGTTTGTTAATTGCGTAAATTCCTAGATATTTTATATCTTGGCCTTATACATTTGTAAATGAGGGAAGGGATTTTTGTTTCCCAAGTGTGTTGACCTTGCATTTTATCATGACACGTGAAGGTGATTCTTCTTTGCAGTGTGTGTCTGTGTCTTTATCGGTAGGCTATAGATTGGGTCTATGTTCATATGCTTACACTGATTGAAGTTTCGTTTATATGCCAGGTTTCTTTCAGTTTGCATATCGTTAACTGTCTACATGGGTTTACATCAAAGATGAAGCATTGCACACCTTAGCGTTATGAGCTAATGTCTTCAGGCGTCCATAAATGACCTAGTACGGCTGAGAGGGGGTAGACTTCGGTCTTCCCCTCCAAACGCTCTCATATGGCTACGCTTTCACAGCGTCGTCTTCCAGGGACGTCTTATTCACTCACTCACTCACTCACTGCCTTCATGAAGCGGGGACGGTGTCCCTCACAAAAGTGAAAGGGCTATCTCGAACATCTAGCGCTTACAATCGAACTGGTGTGTATGTTGGTCTATCTACGGGGGAGCTGGAAAACTCTGATTTCAAACCTATGATGTTGATGTGTACCTATTTTGGTCATGGGATCCATGAGAATGCAGCTTCACTGCCATCTGGAGCAGACTTCAAGTCAGAGGGATAGGGATTCAGGGAGAGGCCCCTTAAGACAATTGCCTGTTATTCAACTTTTGAAATAAAAACTTCAATGTTCATCTTCATTGACTCAATAGTATACCGTTTTAAAAAAAGTATCCTTAACCGTTTTTTATGTTTTAGGAATTCTTGAATCCATCCTCATTTATTAGCATCGAAGAAAACAATCAATCATACGGTGTATCTAAACCAAATCATTCGGGACAAGTATCCTTAAATGAATTAATTAGACGAGCTAAAATTATTTTGTGCTATGCAGCTGGTTTACCGTCACATGCTAATTCTTTGGAGAATAAAATGGAGTCATTGAATCTTATTGGCCTGTCTGATGAACTAATTACTGCCGCCACTTGTTTTCTATTGATGGTTAAAGTGAGTTAACTGTGTATGTATAATAATAATAATTATTCCCTAGGGTTCCGAATGCAACATAGTGCTTTAACAGAACATCTTCATTTCATTCTCGTCTCTGCAATCCCCCTTAGCTGGCTCTCCAATTACTCTCATCTCCTCTATGTCACCCTCTCGACCCGTTTCGCATTCGATTCCCACTCGAGAACCTGCTTATTGGGTTATGTCACTAAACGGTCACCTCACCATGTCTCCAACACATCTCCATTTTCTTTCGTATATTTAAAACACAACTTAATCGAGCAAAGAATATCCTTTTCGATAAATTCCTCTTCTGGCTCTACAATTATATACACATGTTTATATACACAAAATATTCAAGATTGGTAGTTAATAACAATATTGGTATTTTTTAAATAATATCGATTTGTAAAATATGATCAATGCAATTACAGTTCCTTAAAGATGCTTAAATTATAATAGTAATAAAGATATAATAGCGAATAGAATATCAACTAAAATTAGGAAATTTCCACAAAAATTGAGAATCATTCAAACCTAGATGGCCAAGATAAGGACAGTGTCTGAACTACCAATCTTGAATATTTTGTGTATATAAACATGTGTATATAATTGTAGAGCCAGAAGAGGAATTTATTGAAAAGAATATTCTTTGCTCGATTATTTTGTGTTTTATAGATATCTGAATGAATATTTCGTATATTTGTTAAACGATAGGCTCTTGGTTGGTTCGTTCCCAGTGTTCCTTGTTGCTGGCCATCTGATCTTCACCATGAAGTAAAGGCAGTTTTGTTGATGATAAAAGTCTTCAGACGCCTATTCAAAATGCTTTTGTCGACTCGCCAATTCTCTGAACCATATTATGAAAGCACTACTAGCAAACTTGACACTAGGTTTGAAAACCCGAGTCCTGTTCTTTATGCTTAGTGCAGTAGATATCCAGACTGATTTCAGGTGAATATAGGTCTGTCTTGCCTTTCCCGTCCTGGCCTTGCATATACATATATAGGACTTCAACCTTAAACTTTGAAGTTTCAGTAGCACTGGTGTTTATTTTCTACAGGTTGGAGCTGCTAACCTCACTTCCAAACTTCCCGCTTTGCTGGGCTTACTACTGACTAGGAGAGGTTGAGGAGTGTGTCAGCCCGGGGTCGAGCCGCGAACTACATGCATGGCTGACTATTGACGAGTTGCATCAGTCCCAGCAGGTTAATCGCTGACGACTGAAGCACGTGTACTGCTCAGCAGTTCTCTCCGTTCTCCTTTATGGTTGTGAGAAATGGCCATTGAAGGGGGAAGATACGAAAAACCTAGTTAGTTGTCTTTGATCATAGTTGTCTGCGTTCTATCTCCCGTGTTTTTTTAAGTGGTAGGTAGTATTATAGGGTAGGCAATATTGAGGTTAGACACCGGTCGGGTGCTAGGTAAGGAGAGGAAATCGATCCACGAGGTTGTGAAGTTACACTGATTGAGATGGTCAGAACATGTGTTACGCGTAACTGCCTAGCCATCGTCTTCCTCGACCAGCGGGCAATGCTAGCTGACTAACATAGGTTCAAGTTGGAAGAGAGAGTTAGTGGTGGGTGGTCAAACCAAAACCAACATGGCTTCATCAGTCAATGAAATCCATAACAGTTAGTTGAAGGCAGTCACGTAGGGAGGTGTAGACTTCCTAGTTGGCATCGGAGGGATGCTAAGAGCCATTGGAGGCTGGATACAATTGGTGATATGGCTGAAAATATTTCTCACTAGCTGGTGCAGATGCATTCATCCTTTGTGATTTGTCATATTCAATAAAACTCTATTGTTCTTTCATATTACTATTCTTTTTGCCTCATACTTCTGTTCATTATCTCTCTCTTCTCTTTCTTTGTGTGCTACATGAAGGGAGATTGGCAACTCGAACTGTTGCACATCTCTGTGTAAAGTTCTATGTTGATGAAACAAAGTCAGTCAGTGAAACGCATTAGAAGAATAAATTAGTACTATTGTTGCCTTATGCTGTTATCTACTTTCGTGTATATTTATTTATTCTTTTGAATTTTAGGAATATGATTTTCTGTATCCTACATCTACTCCTATGCAAACAATTTCATTACCTTCAGAGAATATCTCATACTGTGTTACATGTACGGCTTCTTTGCATTTGATTCGTATTCTATTGCATTTTCATGAAGTGTTACAGTCAACTGAAAATGTTAACAAAAAGATGAATATAAATTCAGAGAAACAAACTTCATCATCATCATTATCAACATCACCGGTGTTTAAAAATCTCTTGAGTGCTACAGTTAAATATGGTGATTTAGAAAAATTAAAAATCGTTATCAATGAATTTTATGAATTAATACTTATGCGTGGATGCCTATTTGTAGAATATTCTAATTCAACAGACAATGTGATGAATAGTAACTCTAAAGTCTCTGGATCTGAACAACAGCAACAACAACAACAAAATAATAGAAACAACTATCACTCAGGTTGGTAGGCACTTTAAATAATATTTTATTATTATTATTGTTATTGTTCCCTTGGGTTCCTAGTGGTGTAACAACAGAAGACAAGGGCCGGTTACAGATCGTTTTATTACGGAAATCAGCACGTATTTATATATATTTCCTGTACATTATTATAGCTTATTCAAGCAGACAAACACAGTCTTCTGATTGGTTGTTTCTGGTTTCTCGGAAAGTTAAGCCATATATCTGCGAGTCTTATTTGCCCACCTTAAGTCTGTTGTGGTTGGGTGTTGAATCAGCCTTGTTCATATTTTCTCACGGCATGGCTAATATTAGTGACCTAGACGTTGACGCAAATTAATGTCTACCAATTGGCTAGCAGCCTGCTCTCACCACAGTGGAACATAGGGCTTCAACTGCACATCTCCACTTTCTTCTGTCTTCTGCTGCTGTACTTTTCACCTGCATCCATGTTACTCCATACTGTTTCAACTCCTCTCCACACGATCTTTTCCATGTCACCCTTGCACTGACGTCCCACTCCCCGCTTCCCTTTCGGGTTCCACTAGAGCAATGGCCTGACGCGCGCGCGATGTCACTCAGCGGCCTCCTCCTCAGCGAGTGTTCAATCCATCTCCGCTTTCTTCTGCATATTTGTCGGTTAGTGATTGGTTCTTGTTTTGTTTGTTTCCATAGTTTCTTGTTGGTGATTCTCTCCGGCCCGGCTATCTGATCTGATCTTCAGTATAGATCCAGCGAAGATAGTTGTTGGTTGATTAAGGTCTGCAACAGGCTGTTGGAAATATTCGTTGTGACCCGCCTGTCAAGTTTCTGATCCGTATAGAAGAACTGACTGACTTGACGTGTTTGTATTGAAAATCCGACCGAATGTTTGTTGTTGATGCTGAGTGATGCTGAGATTTCCAGATTGGTTTCAGGTTGATGAATGTGTTTGTCGCCTTCCCGATTCTCGCTCGATTTGACATCCTCGTCCGTTCCGACTGCCTGTAGTTGAGACAATGCTCCCTATATTAGTGAAGTGAATGAAGTAACCTCTTTCAAATCCCTCCCGTTGATGGTGATTGTCGCTGGATGTTGTTGCTGTTTTTGTGGTGGTTGGTTATTTTCATAACCTCTGTCTTGTATATGTTCACCTGGAGTCCTGTCTTCGCCGGCTGCTTCTTCGACCAGTTTGTCGGTTTTCGTTTGTAAGTCTTCGATTTTGTGTGACAGTGACATCAAACATAAATCATCCACGCGCGAAATCCAGGTATTCGAGGTTCTTCACGTCAGCCCAGGATATTCCTGTCTTCTCGTTTCCCACTCACTGTCTGACGCATAATCCAGTCCACCACAATTAGTAAACTTAACCAAGTCTACAGAAACTTCAACGCACAAATATATCAAATAGTATTGCTCATTCCTTATCATGTTGATACAAAAGAATGTTTGTGCTACCTTACGTTATATTTTAAACAGTATGTTGATATTCTGAGATATCGGTTCTTTCTTCTTCTTTTTTTCAAATTGCGTGTCTGTTTGAAGGTTTGACAGCGATCTGACCTCATTTAGAGAATCATTGGAAAATCAGAGAGTAGCGAACAGCTATTTTGTCTTAGTTTCAGACTCTTCATCAGTACACACCACCCACTGGGTTTCGAAGCCCGGGACCTGACATTCACAAGGCTAGGTCGTTGACCATTTAGCCGTTGGGACTGTATCTAATGGCACAGGAATCCTAACTTCTGCCAATTCGCAACATATACGTGTATATACTAGACCATTAGTTATACTAATTACTTCATTGTTAGTTGATCGCCTTTTGACGCCTAGATGATGATACTAAGTTGTACTGCTTCGTTATAACTCCATTTCTTTTGCTTGTACTTAATTGCTGCTGTCCAGATAAATAAACATGGATGAAACAGAGCTGTCCAGTACTCCATTGCTGGTTTTCAAATGATTTTCTAACCGATATTAATCCTTGATCAAAACTTCAAAACAAATCAAATCCCTACAAACAAACTTACTCTTAGAAATATGTAATAATACTGAAGGAAAATAAACATGCTTCAAATGGACGGAGAAAATAAGTCAAGTTATTTTGATGAGAATTTTTTAGTGACAATATAATTATAGTAGATCTCGATTGAGTTAGTACGGATTCCAGTAAAAGGATCGACAACTATTTACCAGGAAAAAGGCGGATGATAATAAAAATAAATAATACCAATCCGAAACCTTACCCTAGTCATAACCCTAACCCCAACCTTGACTATTATATAATTCCTTTGAGTTTCCATTGGAACCTATGGCTTCAACCTTGAGCTTTAGAGTTTCAGTAGCACTGGTGTTTATTACGGAGTAGTATGGTTGCTAGCTTCATGCGCAACCTTTCCTGTTTGTCTGGCTTACAACTTGCTACACGAGGTAAAGGTGTGAGCCGGTCAGGAATTGAACTCCGGACTGCGTTGGCGAGTAATATGACAATGTCAATGATATAATGTGCAAAACAGATATCAGATATTTATTCACACATAGTGTATAAACTCTCTAGACTAATCTTTCGCTTTACACACTCGGTCGTTATAAACCTGATGTAGAAACTCTAGTGGATGTATTTCATGTACATTAAACTGATCGTGTGTAGTGTTCAATTTCATGCAATTTAAGCAATTATTTAACAAAACCTCATATTTAGAAAAGACAAAAAAATTGAGCGAAGATTTGTCCTTTTCGATAATTTCCTCTTCTGGCTCTACAATTTTATATCTGTTTTTAGGCATAGAATATTCTAGAATAATCGTCATTGACAATACTAGTGTTTTTAAATACTATCGATTTGTCAAGTAAGATCAATGGAATTACAGATCAAGAAAGACGCTACTTGAATATCATTGTGATGATCACTAGCGACCGGCCGTATTCTGGTAGGTAGTCACCTGGGTTCTAGTGGGAAGTTGTGACCAGTAGGATGCAACAATTAAGGTGTAAGCACAAATACTCGTCGAAGACAGTGGCTAGCGGTCACTCGATATCGTCAATCGGCAGAAGTTGAAATTCATGATCCATTGTATCGAGTCACAGTAGCTTATTGGTCTGCGAGCTCGCCTTGTAACCAGAAGGTTCCGGGTTCGAACCCCGATGAGTGCATACTGATGAGGAGTTCCAAACTAGAACGAAATAGATGTCCACTCCTCCCAGGCTTTCCAATGGTTCTGTAACCGATGATTTTAGCTCATGATGAGATCTTGTAACCAACGTCCAAGTTATAGTAAGCATAAAAATGTAACAGTAAATAGAATATCGAATAAAATTCAGGAAATTTCCACAACAAATAGAGGTTCGTTAAGACCTTGATAGCCAGTGGGGTAAGGACAGAGTCTGAACCAACTTCTTTTTGGATACATAAGTTAAATTTCTTAATGTGGATCTCAACGATCCCAGAAATATTGTAATAGATGGACTCTTAACTTAAAGTTAAGATTAGTTGGTATGAGGTAGACGATTCTGAAAAAAACCTCGTTAACATCAATCTTGTGTTCTGTATCCACGAGATGAGATAGAACAGAGAGCTATGAATGGATTTTGTTTCTCTCTTACTTAGCCACCCAGGATGATGCTCGGAAATCTGAAGATAAACACGCTCCATTTTACGGCCTATGTAACTGACGCCACAGGGGAGTCAAACTGATAGATACACATATAAGAGGCAAAATAATGAAGTTTATCTTTAACTCCCGAACACAAAATAGGGGTTGTTTCGAAAAAGAAATTGGTTCAGATACTGTCCTTACTCCATAGGCCATCAAGGTTATAAAATCCTCTATTGATTGTGGAAATTCCCTTAATTTTATTTTATATTCTATTCGCTATCACATTTTTATGTATCTTTGGTGAACTGTAATTCCATTGATCTTACTTAACGAATCGATAGTATTTAAAAACATTAGTATTGTTAATTACGACTATTCTAAATGTCTGAATGAATATTTTCACTACATTAAAACCCGAGATACTATAAGTCATTGTAATAAGATCTATGGTTATTCATGAATATCCATGATGTCTTAGGCGAAGACGGAAATCCAAGTCTGGTGCTTCAATCACTAAGCCACACTACACTACTACTAAGCTACGAATTAGTAATGTCCTATGAATATCTTAGAAGAAAAGTCATCTTTTTCTGATGACAAAAGTACACACATGAAAAGTTTGGGTCTGTCTTATTATCTGGATGTTTCCACCAAATTTATTATTTCATAAAACTTTACAAGACCAAAACTATGGGCTTCATATACATTTTGGAGTATTTTAGGATTTTCGCCATCACTAACGCTACGTGACTGACTTGATAAAAGTAACGGTATTTTGAAGGGGGGGGAGAGGGTTAGTGGACTTCAAATTTTTCTCTAAAAAAAACAGACAACTATCCAAGTTACTCATTTCGAAGACTTGAATAATTTCATTTTTTTAAAGACATTCATAACCCTAATCCTCACGCTAACCATAATTATAACCGCAATCGTAACCGTAACCCTAACGAGCTATTAAAACATTGTCCAAACAGTAATTAAAAACTAGATGGGGATGAAATTTGCACTTCGATTCATGTACAGCGTTCATAACGGCGCTATGATAATGGTGGTACGTCTCGTCATCCAATGAATAATGTGCGTTCAAGGTCACCGGTGCGTTCGTACTCCTGGGTTTTAATACTTTAATTTTGCCTGTACACTATATTTTTTTTTGATTTACAGCTTGATTCCACACTGTATTTTCGGTACAAGTATGGGATTTTCAGCATGGATATCTGTAGCCCAAATTTTGCAGACCGACCATAGATATCAGGTGTGAGTCGGTGCGGGCTCGAACCCCGGACCATGTGCATGGTCGGCGAGAGTCCTAACCACTGTGCCACCTATTTCAGTAAATTTTTCTATGAATCATAAATAGTTTATTTATGATTTTAATTTGGAGAGTTTTATTTATTTATTTATATATTTATAGACACTTCCCGTTTAAGAATTACTTCACCTAGTTTGTATAATATCATTGGATTATTGGCAACGATCGATAAAGTAGCACAGTTAATTATCGCCACCGGTCTCAACTTCCCTATGAATGCTAAACTCAAAAATTCAACAGATTCAGAACATGTGTTTATTGGATTACAATTATTAGATTATCTTATTATTGGTTTTGCTCAAATTGCTCATCAAGTGTGTACAAAGTTCAGTTTACGTATTTTAAAACAAGTAGTCAGTTGTTTTTCAATGAATAATACTTTCGATGAATACAAGACGACTATTGAATCATCAATAACAAACAGTGAAGATAATGGCACTACCGCCTGTACAAATAATTCATCGTCTGATTTACAATCAAACACTACAAAAATGCGTACATCAAGATGGGATAAACCTTTAACAGAGCCTGCAAAGAAAGATCGTAGACGTAATCAACAACATGAAAAAAACTTGACTGATCATCATCAGAAAGGAGTGATATTATCATTTCTAGATCAACAATTATGGACGCTAAACTTGGAATCACATTCATTGGTGAGCGTGAAAAATACTGTGTTGATTTCCTTCATTTTTTAAAAATATTTTTGATAATATAAGTAAAGCTTAGCTGCTAGAGGAAACGAGAATGAAATAATCATATCAAATATAGGCTAGTTAGTAAAAAATTATATTTGTAAATTCTCAGCGAGATTGAAATGAGTAATTCCAACGTTGAGTTCGACAATCTGGTCCGAACTTCTTCAGGGAAATTGATCGAAATTAACATAACAGAGTGCGTCGGTGGCACAGTGGTTGGGACGCTCGCCGACCATTCACATGGTCCGGGGTTCGATTCCCGGCCACCGACGCACTCATTTACCTCACTAAGCCAGAAATAATGCTGGTAAAGAGGAAAGGTTGGGCATGAGTCTAGCAACCCCATCCTGTAAAAGTAATCACCACTGCTACAGTAACTTCAAGCTGGCTCTAGCTTGAGGCCCTATGTTCCACTGGGAACGTGAGGGAAAAATTATTATTATTATTATTTTAACATAACAGAGGTTTATATATAAAAGGAACATCTCTTGTTTTTAAAAACTTTGTCCAATCATGAGTCATAAAACAAGTATAATAAACAAAATTGTACGAGCTGTGATCAAAATTTGACCTCGAACTTACAAATATTGGTCTACTTTTGTTAAACACTTTAAACAGTGTGTATGTGTGTGTGTGTGTGAGGGGGGGTAAATAGTTGTAAAGCATTTCTCAACGTCTCCATGAGAAGATATAGACAGTCGAGAATTTTGACAAAGCATTATTAATTAGTGATACATATCCATTTTTATTTATTAATTAATCAGGATTTCCTATGCATCAGCTAACATTACACCTTCATATCTGTTCCAAACTGTTAATATCTAGAATTTTATGATTAGATGTATTTTCAAAATTATGGTGTTTAGGATTAGAGTTTAGTTGAAGACTGAGCTGCTTTATTCGATCTACTGGAGTTGTCAGGTGACTCGACAGCTACGGATTTAGGATATGCATTCTGTTGCAGACCACTGATCTATTTGGGCTGGTGACTAACCCTTTTGTAGGACTGTAATGAATACTTTGATTGGATACATTAGGTAGTAACTAATCTCATGTGTCTGTCTGTCTGTCTGTCTGTTTTCGACATAGAACTTTGCACAAATGTGCGGAAGTTCAAGTCGCCACATTCCGTGTAGCACGCGAAGCAAGAGAAGAAAGTACAAGAAAAGCATAATAGAAACAGTGAGCAGAGGTGTGAGACAAAGGAGTAATAAAGAAGAACAAAACAGTTTCATTGGAGATCATAAGTCACAAGGAGTGGATGCATCTGCGCCACTGAGAACGATTTTGAGCCATGTCACCAATTGTTTCCAACCATAGATTTTTACCGTCCCGAGGACCCCAGCCTGGAAGTCTACACCTTCCTACGTGGCTTAGACCAACTGTTGTGGATTTCATTGACTGATGCCAAGTTTTTGTTTGACCGCCGCTAGCTTTTTTCCAGCCTGACCCTATATCCGCTAACATTGCTCGTCGAGGGAGGCGATGGCTTGGCATACGTAACACATGTCCTAACCATCTCAGTCTTTGTAGCTTCACGACTTCGTCGATTGATTTCCCCTGTTTACCTAGAACTCTACGCCTAACCTCCATGTTGCTCACCTTATTATGCCACTTTACACGGGAAATAGAACGCAGGCACCTATGATCAAAGACAGCTAGTCTTTTCATGTCTTCCACTCTCAGTGGCCAGGTCTCACAACCATAAAGGAGGACGGAGCGGACTGATGAGCAGTACACCCGCCCTTTGGTCGATAGTCGAACATCTCGTCTACGCCAGAGTCGGCGTAAACTAACAAATGCGAAACGAGCCCCTTGTATTCGTGCTGAGATTTCGTCAGAGATCAGCCCGTTGGGGCTGATGGTACTTCCCAAATAAGTGAAGCGGTCAACGTGCTCTACCACTTCACTTCCTATTTTTAAACTAGGCGTCGATGTAGTCCAGTCCTGTAACATCATCTTGCATTTGGCGGGAGCGAATCGCATGCCAAACATTCGTAGATTGCGGCTCAAGGTGTTTAGAAGACTCTGCATTTCGTCAGCGTCTTCGCCTAGAAGGACTATATCGTCTGCATATTCCAAGTCAACGAGATTATTCCCTGGTAGCAAGTCAATCCCTGAGTCGCTGAAGTCACCTAGGGTTAAGTCCATTAACACATCTATGATGAAGTTGAATAGAAAAGGAGATAATGGGCATCCTTGACGGACACCACTGGTCGTCATCAGTTCAGATGACAGCTCGCCGTAAGCCCTCACCTGGCTGTATGAGTACGAGTAGAGTGCCTTAATCAGTGCAATATATTTTCTTGGAATTCCCTTTACAGCCAAGCATCTCCAGAGAACTTCCCGATCGACAGAGTCGAATGCTGCCTTTAGGTCAAGAAATATAATGACTGTTGGACGCCGGTAGGAATGCCTATGTTCTAGAATCTGTCGGAGGGTGAAGATATGATCAATACACCCTCTTCCTGGTCTAAAGCCTGCCTGGCTCTCTCGTGTTTGTGCTTCCCGAGCACCACTCAGTCTACGCATGATTATTGAGCCTAAGACTTTAGATACTATATTAGTCAAGCTAATCCCTCTGTGATTATCACAGGAAGACTTGTCTCCCTTCTTGTATATGGGGATAATCAGTGACTTACACCAACCCGATGGGACTTCTTCTGATTCCCAGACGCTGCCTAGTACCTCAGTTAATCCGGACAGTAAGCTGTCTCCACCGTACTTAAATACCTCTGGAGTCATTCCATCAGGTCCCGCTGCTTTGCCTAGTTTCAGATTGGTGACAGCTTTAGTAACCTCAGTTAGTGACGGAGGACCTGTGTCTATATCCCATTCAGGGAGGTGTTGGATGCTCGGAAGGTTGAGCGTGGCTGTGGGCAAATTAAACTGCTCCTCATAATGCTCTTTCCAACGATCCAGTCGTCTATCCTGGAGCTAATTATAGTGCCATTTTTTTCCGAGATTGTCTCACTAATGATTTGTCTTCTCCCACCCGTTTCCCTGATGAGTCCAAAGAGTTGCCTGGTGTTGCCTATCCTCGAAGCTTTCTCCATCTCTTTGGCTTTTGTCGCCCACCACTGTTCACGGTCCTTGCGGAGACTTTTCGTAAGTTTCCTCTTGTGCAGCTTTCGCTCCTCATTGAATTCGGAGCTCGCCGGAATAAGTCTTCTAGCATCTATCAGTTCGGATGAGGCGGTGGAGATCCAGTGGTTTTTACTCACCTTTGGGTTTACCTTATTCACAGCTTTTACAGCTGTATCTATGGCTGCCTGGATATTTTTCCAAGCTTCTTCAGGGTGAGCACAGCTGTCGAACACAGATATGTGTTTAGCTAGTTCTTCCTGAAATACGGATTTAGTTTCCTGATCGAGCTGGGGACGTGATGGTTTTACCGCCAGCTGTTTCCTACGTCCGTTCAGTCGTAAGCACACCCGAGCGCGGACCAGTGCATGGTCGGTATCTACGCACGTGTTCCAGAAGGAGCGACAATCTCCTACCGACCCACGCCAACGATAGCTTATTGCTATGTGGTCTATTTGTGTCCAGCGTTGGTTTGATGAAGGGGGTCTCCAAGTCAAACAGTGTCTCTCCTTGTGTTTGAAGTTAGTGCTTACAAGAAACAAATGATTATCAGAGCAGAACTGTAGGAGACGGTCACCGTTGTCGGTTCGCTGGCACGGGACTCCATAGGTGCCACCGACATCCTTCTCAGATTGACACAATTTCCCTACTTGAGCGTTAAAGTCACCAGCTAGAACGACTATGTCTGAGCGTTTAGCCTTTCCACCAAACTAGACAGCTTTTGGTAGAACTCATCCTTCGTTTCATCTGAACTGCAGTCAGTGGGGGCGTAGGCGGAGATTACGAAAAGGCATCGGCGAGTAGTGCAGTCCTTCCTCCTTCTTACTGATCCGTTCAGGCGGACAGCACACATTCGGCTATCTACCGGGATCCAGTCAAGCAATGTCTTTTCTGCCCTAGTACTCAAAGCTATCCCTACGCCAGCTAATCCTCGTGAACTAGCTGTGGCATCTCCTGACACCCTCAAGGTGAATTTTGCAGATTCAACCTGTTGGCCAGGTGGGGTTAGGTGAATAACCACACTTGGGTCTTGTATGCGTGTTTCTGAAACACAGCATACATCAATGGCTCGTGATGCCAGGGTCTTGGCTAGTGATGCTTGTTGTCCTATTTGGCAAAGTGTCCTAACATTAAGAGCTCCTATATGAAATTGGTGGCGCGGCTTTAAGAGGCTGTCGGTGGTGGTTTTTTGGCTTCCATCGTTTTTAGTGGACGCAGAGTGGAGAGGAAGTGGAGAGCTATCAAGTCGAGGAGTTGCATCAGTGGAAGGAAGGCAAGATGATAGAGATGAAGATGAAGACAAAGATGAGTGAGTAATAGAGAGGTTTCGTGTGCATTTCGGATTGTGAGGGCGATTGTTACTTCCCGGCTGCCCACACCGTGGAAGTTGGTTGCGTGACCGCAGAGCCCAGGGGACAACTGCTTGAGGCCGGTCACACGCGGCCTGTTTTTGTTTGTTTTTTTTGTTTGGTGTGTCTCAGTAGCAGATTTATCACTCCCGCCCTGTGACACGGCAGCAGGAAGCGCGGTCGTTGTTAATCCGGGCCACGGCCGATCCGGCATGAAATTTTGTAATTTTGTATTGGACATGATGTTGGATTGGGTAGCTGCTTTTTGTTTAACCGCTATCCAAACAACCTGCCTGGCATGGTAGAACCTCAAGAGACATAAGTCTCAGCCAGTATAGCTTGATTAGGTCATTGCGGTGTTCAAGCCCGACCACCACGTCAAGGTAGCAGCTTTCGGTCGGGTGTTTTCGCAGACTGAATTCTCTTCGTCAAGTCTTCAATGTGACCCCAGCATGTCAGTGTTAATACAGCACGCTTTCATGAATTCATAAAATGAGAGATGATGATAATAATAACTTCTTTATTCTGGACAGCATTTATAAAATGCACAGAATTATCAGGGGGAGTTTATATGAATAATATTTCCTCGTTGTACAATATCTTCAAGTAAAATACCAATTGACAGTATATCCTGTGAAACAATGCTCTCTTAGCTGAAACACAAACCATTCCATTATGACATATCTGCTTTGTCTCCTCCTTCAAGAAATCCACGATATCTAGTTGAATGCCATTTGTAAGATGTTCAGAAGTACATTTTGAGATCCAAAGACTTAACTGAAGAACACTTATCTCATGTTGTGTGTTGGAAAACATTGCCACCCAAAATCAGGCCTTTCCTCAAGTTTAGTAGAAACTTGCGAATCAAAAGCTTGTTAACACTTTAAATACACAAGAGGGTATAGTACCAATACAGGTCATATCTCAATAGATTAAAGCAAACTGAACGAGAGAAAATATGTGTGCAATAGAGAGATGGAAGCTTTTTTTGCAGCCCAAGTTTTAAGCAGGCCACTAACAAAATTAGGATTGTAACGAATTCCAGTCCAGCATTTTCATTACTGGCATTATCTGGCTTCTGTGTAAATGGTCGGAAAAAGCTGAAGCTAAGATATTAAAGAGTTCCGTAGCAAAGAATCTTCTAGACCATAGACATGATATTGTCGCTGTTGAATTGTCTACTGTTGTCAGTAGACAGACAAATAGAAAGACGCTTAGAATTACGAAGACCTGTACAGTTAGGGTCTGCTTACGCAATCTCTGTGTATAGAGAGAAATGATGGTCACTTTGAAACTGTCTTGGTAATATCTTCATATGTGTTACTGATAGTATAGTGTAGGGTATGTAGAGTAGTTAGCTGGGTCGTAGAGACATGTGGCGAACTCACTCAATTCCGATTAAGTAAAAAATGTTGCTTGTTGTAATCCTTTTCGGCTTACAAATTGGTAGAGCTGTGGTGAGAGCAGGCTGCTAGCCAATTGGTAGACATTAATCTACGTCAATGTCTAGGTCACTAATATTGGCCGTGAGAAAATATGAACAAGGCTGATTCAACAACCAATCACAGCAAACTTAAACGTGGGCAAATATGATTCGCAGATAGATGGCTCCACTCTCCGAGAAATCTCGAAAACAACCAATCAGAAGACTGTGTTTGTCTGCTTGAATAAGCTATAATAATGTATGTGAAATATATATAAATACATGTTGATTTCCGTAATAAAACGATCTGTTGCCGGCCCTTGTCTTCTGTTGTTACAGAGCTATCAAGATACGGATATGACGCGTTTGTCTTAATACTTAATCTCTGTCTAAACTGCACTGTCCATTCTACTTAAACCTCCTGAAGGTCTATGGCCGCCTCGTATCGCTCTTCAATAATGTCAGTGACTCCAACAGCGGATTTACAACATCAGTTACTTGGTGACGGTCGCAGATACCTCCTGCTGATGTGTGCCATCAAGCACAAACCCCATATTCAGGACTTTGAAGCCTCATATCTTCTTCAAAATACATCCTACCCAGTCATTCTTTTTGTCATTTCACACAAATTAAGTAAAGAATTCGGCGATATATTTACTCACTTCTGAGTACAATATCCAAGAATATATGGTTAGTTGGAGTTAGATTGTTTAATTAATCGCCCTCGTCTTCATTTATTGGAATCGTCATTCTCTTGTTACTCACACGAAATCACCGTTCATCTTTATACTCACCAAATGTTAACTAAAGTAACATTTCTTACATTTACCCCCTTTTGTAAATTTGAATAAAGCAAGAACAGCGGTGGTTTTTGCAGAATAACATGGTACCATCATTGTTTATACTGTTGGTTTCTCATCAGTTGCTTACATCCTACAGAAATTATTAAGTTTATGTACAGAAACAATTTTAATATACTTACTCAGAGAGTTCAGATTTAAACAAAAAAAATCAATATATGCACAAAATGGCAAAGGAGTTGAGTAACAAAGAGGTTAAAGCCAAAGATTATATAACCCCAGATGAAGGAGAGAGTAAAGACATCCAGTTACCAGGGTATGGAAAGACTGATAATTGCTTCTTTGCGAACACATAAATCGGGTTTCAGGCATTTGATAGTGATTATTTCAGCAAACTTGAGGAGGATTGAGCTATTTTGTATATTGATAATTTTAAAGGATTTCATGATGATATCCACCACATGACATCTTTCGACAAGATGCTTGGCAGTGGCAATATTGGAAGCGTGTGTTCCTTTAAGACGTAGGCTTTTTAGTGCATGTTCAGAAAATGGGAGGTGTGACCTTTCCATTCTTCCAATGTAACTGCTCCCTCAGATACATGTAAATTTATATACACAGTTGGAGTTAACCATGAAAAGGGTATCTGTCGACTCTCGATTCTGCCAAAGAACAGCATGTTGTCCGATAAACGGGAACCAACTTATTATCTGCAGGATAGGTTCTGGATAGTGAGGTATTCAATTTTCTGTGGACTATTCCTGCGATGAACTAAATATTTCCATATTGAGTCATAAGAAAAAGACGTAAATAGAGAAGAAAATTGTCTTTTCGAGGATTCATTTTCATGAGCTGCTGTACACTCGTAATTATAATTAACACAGAAATTTTTTGACCAATCAGATACTGGTAAACTTTGTCCTTGAAAATTCTACTACATAATGTGAGGTGTAAGAAGGGATGACTAATTGTAAGTTAGAAAAGAGACAGAAGTTGGCATGACGTAATAAGTATGGAATAATGACTGATCAATAAGCTCGTGTAGAATGAACAGGAACTAGTGGAAAGGCGATAAAGCGTTTTTATATAAAATCTGTATGAAAAGGCAATGTTATTAATAAACAGTAATAAAGTGGTAATAAAATATGGATGATAGTAATAATAGTGATGATAATAAAATAAAAGTAGTCATAACAATAATGATAGTGAACTTGCATAATAATAGGAAGAAGCAAAATTACAGTAAGAACCTTACTCTGGACACGATAGGGCGAGTGAATGTAAGTACTGCTTTTGAATGCAGAGATCCAGTTTCAGGTCCCGACTTGCTAATATTTCAGCCATGTACAGATGGCGTATGCGACGTCCTTTTGTACGATATTGAGGTGTCTTACTTATCATTTGCCTTTTGCAACCTGTCTGTCTAATTAGTCTAATCAGTTGTCTGGCGTTTGAAACTATGGGCACTGGGTTCGAGCCTCGGTGGGAACATCATCACTCACTGGGAAATCCAGGTACTTCCAAATGACGAGTCCCAAATAGGACGAAACGCGCGTTATCCTGGATTCCACTGCTAGTCACCAACCACCAATTAAATTCTAATTAAATGCCCAGACATCGTCGAAGCATTTGCACAAGAAGCCGCCGACATGTCAACTTGAGACCAAGCACTTCGGTCCAATTAATCGATGAGAAAATGTAAAATCCAATTAAAGTTGTCTGGTGTTGCCTATCGTTGATGCCTTCTCCACCCTTTTCTTTTTGTTTTTGCCGCCCAGTACAGTTCGTGGTCTTTGCGAAGACTTTTAGCTTACGCTCTTCATCTTACTCGTAGCTTGCCAGAATCAGTCTTCATGCTGCGTCAGTAATCAGTTCATATGAAGCAGCAGAAATCCACTGACATTTTTTAGTCTTTGGTTTTAGCTGCCTTTGCCACACTGATTGGATATTATACCAGGCTTCCCCAAGATGACTTTTGCTATCGAACTCAGATAGGTGCGTAGTTATTTCTCTCTTGAATAGGGACTTAGTGGGTGGTGGGGTGGGGTGGGATGAAAGATAATCAGTTTTTATCATGTGATGTTAACGTTGCGTAATTTTTGTTATTCTTGTTCTCAACGATATCAGTAATTAGCAGCAGGCTACAATAAAGCGATAAATATGTAATAAATGTTTCTGTTTGTTTAGGCATATATTCCAATTGTTTTTGTTACATCAATTATTCTACGGATTCCTTTTTATTCTTTTGCTGTTAGATCAATGGTGAAATGTTGTGTGATCATTTAAATTACTGCTTACATTGGGGTTTATCTGTTCAACCCGATCGAATTGATTGGCTTATTCTACGTGGTGAAGTGGAATTTTTCAAGAAGAACTACCGTTTAGCTCTATCAACCTATTTGGAATACGGCAGTGTTGTTATTGACTCATTTTCGAAGAATACTCTGTCAATATATTTTACGAAAGAGGTATGCTGATCGATTCATTAATATCATAATAATAATCATTATTATTATTGTTTTGTGTATATTCGAAGATTTTTATATTAGTAATTTGTGTATATTGTATTATTTCAGTATAACACTAATCATCTATGTGGATGCCTGAATTTCTACCTTAGAAATACCCCCACAAACAATAACTGCTACGGTAGACGACGGTGGGGGTAGACTTTGGTCTTCCTCTACAAATGCTATCATGTAGCTAAGCCTTCATAGCCTCTTTCAGATAAGTTCTATTCACTCACTCACTCATTCACTGCCTTCATGTGGCGACAAGGATGTTCCTCACAAAACTGAATGGGCGAATTTGAACATTTGGCACTTACAATAGGATTGACTGGTGAATATGTTGGTCTACTTACGGGGGGAGCTGGAAAATACTGATTCCAAACATATAGTGTACATGTACTCGAAATTTCGAGGGAACTGAATAACATATGAAACTGGTTTTAGTCGTCGGAAGCCATGGGAATGAAGCTTCACTGCCTTGTGGATCACAGACTTTAATTCAGAGGTTCGAGGAGGGCAACCCTGTAAGTGTAAGACAACTATTTGCTTTAGTCTTGGCATTCGATGAGTTTCCCCAGCCGTCACACACACTACGAAAGAAGACTGACATAATGAAAATATTGAACCAATAACAGGGAACACCAGTCACTATCAACAGGAGAAATCTAAAGGAAGTCAACTCATTCGCTTACACCTAGACAGACAGCATCATTTCAAATGAGTGAATTATGAGCAAATGAAATCAAATCACTACTCACCATCATCGAAAGAAGCCTAGGATGGCCAATCACCTCAATGCTCCAACTTTATAGACTTTCAAAAGGCCCACAACAGCGTCGCAGGTGCAGTATTTTGACGACTAGTCCAATGCTTCAGAGTACATTACTACAAGCATGCATTAACATCATTCGACAGTTACGTTATGATGCCACATATCAAACGAATTAACAGTGGAAAACTCACTCAAGTGTTGGAAGAGGAGGTGGGAGTAAGGCAACAAGGCAACTTTCTACGATTACCAATGGTCTGCCTGATTGTAGTCGACTGGATAATGTGGCAGTATGTGGGAAAATAAGAGAACAGGTATACTCTGGATTGACAAAAAGACAACAGGTAACCTGGTTTTGGTTGGTGATTTATGTCCTGTGCATCACAAACTCGAAGATATGCAGAAGAAAATCAACAGTTTGGCAGAAAAGGCAACAAGGGTATGACTCTAAGTGAACTCGGAGAAGACAGAAGAGATGGAAGTACACCATCAACAGAAAAAATCTCAAGGAAGTCAATTGTTTCTCTCACTCGGACACGCCACACACATGCGGATATAAACGTAAACGATGATCCAGTGGGGAAAGTAACTCATGCGTCCATTACTGTGTGATCAGTTTAGGGATCTACTGCACCCAACATAAGTAGCAGGATCTGAATCTTCAATATTAAGGATAAGACTTGGTGCACACGTTAATAAAATCATTTTTAAAAGGCGACTGAGAAGCTCTGTTTTCCACAATCCCCCAATGGGATAAATAATATTCACAAGGTCAGATTAACGCGCTTAGCCAGCCATACTGTTATCGAGTATGCTTATTCAAAGCGTGTCTTCATAGCCTCAGTGCCCTAATGTACATCTGTCTTTCTATATTACAAATCCCCATTTCTAACTCTGTATGTAACCAACCTTCACATTATCTTTCTTCTTTTGTCTTTCTAGCTAGTGTTTCGAATGATGTGTTGCCTTCAGTATCTGGGATTATTTTATGAAAGTGTAGTACTTTCACAACTTGGTCCGTCTGATGAATCCCTTATCGATAGCGCTATCCTACTGATCAATAGTTTGGGAGAAAATTCCAACGGTTGGCCATTAGTACAAGTAGATACTTTCACTACTGAGATTGTAAATCTTCAAAATCAACGAACAACTCCTTCTTGTAATGAGAGCTCTTTAGACTGTTTACGTGGATCTTGTGGAGGCACATTTCTACACACCACACTTGACTGTCCAGACAATTTAATTCCATATCTTTGGAATGTTCGTCTGCTGTCATCGCTTGAATCTTCTGCTTCTAATCGTGGTGCATTATCACAGTCAACGAAATTCAGAGGTAAATATTTAGTCTGTGTTATATATATATAACTCTGCCATATAATTAATAGATATAGAGTGTAATTTTGTTTGGTGTATTTTTCTATGCTGTGACACACAAGTTGGAGAGGTCATCTATCATTATTAATAATAATAATAATAATAATCTACTTTATTCCAAAAACATTACTTATAATACAGAATGGAATTCTCAGCATTTGTCATAATATTGCATCTGATCAAAATCTGAATAAAATTAAGACAAAAGTAACCAGAGGAATTCCACCATATTTACGATATAAATAAAGTCAAAAATACTCGAAGTATGAAATGAGAATATTAAATACATTAATAATAATAATAATAATAAAAGTGAGTTTGTTTCAAACATTATTGTCGATTTAGTTTGGAAATTTTAACATGTTATAGATTATTGAATCTAATGTTCTGTTGATATAGCATGGTGAGAGGAAATACAAAATTAACAGTTATTCATACAGCTTAAATAATGTTCACACTATTTATGAAAAAATAAACAAATAAAAACAAAAAATTGAGAGGATTATAAATGTAAGAAATACAATAACAATAAAGTTTGATACTCTAAGGAAGGAAGAAATGGTTTATTTAGTAGTACAAAGAAGGTTAGTTAGTTCATCCCTGGCACTATTTTCATCGCATAAAGTACGTGCTAAATATGGTATAGTGTAATTTTTTATACTTAAACGTACGTACATAAAGTCTTCTGAAAAGACTTCTTGTTTTACCTGAGGAGATACAAGACTGGAGCTGTGGATGCTCACAGTCTGACAAAATTCCTTTAGCAAATTTGTTGCATGACATCAAGTGCCTATCAGTGACAAAATCGATGAGGCTGTGAAGCTACATCGACTGAGATGCTTAGGACGTGTGTTACGTATGCCTAGTTATCGCCTTCCTCGATGGGCAATGTTAACTGACATAGGGTCAGACTGGAAAAGAGCTAGCGATGGTCAAACAAACACATGGCACCAGTCAATGAAATCTACATCTGTTAGTTTAAGTCAGCCACATAGGAAGGTGTAGACTTCCTGACTGGTTGGGGTCTTCGGGACGGTAAAAACCAATGGTTGGAAACAATTGGTGATATGGCTCAAAATCGTTCTCAGTAGCTGGTGCAGATGCATCCACTCCCTGTGACTTATAATTTCCAATGAAACTATATTGTTCTTCGTTATTACTATTCATTTGTCTCACATCTATGTTTACTGTCCTTATTATGCATTTCTTCTACTTTGTTCTCTTGCTTTGTGTGCTTCATGGAGTGTTGCGACTTGAACTGTCGCACATCGGTGCAAAGTTCTATGTCGAAAATAGATAGACAGACAGTGACAATGTCAACGATATTGCCCAATGGGATACCACTCGTCCTACTGACAGTCTTCAGAGTTCTACGAAGTGTGACATAGTCTTTTTTAAGCAATCTAGGAAAGAATAAGGGTGAACAGTGAAGAAGAATAGGTAAAATACACGAGTTGACAAACTGTAAGATGAGTGGTTGAGTTTTGTCTGAGTGCCTTCTTAATGTAAAAAGTCAGACGAAATATTCTTTTAGAAATCGCTAAGACATGAGAAGACCAGGATATGCCAGAAGAAAGAATTAATCCAAGATACTTAACTTCAGACTTGTTTTGTATATCAGTATCATCAATTTTGCAAGGGTTATAGAAACCGACGGCTTCATTTAACTTCCTTTTATATCGGAAACTGAAGTTAACAGTTTGACATTTGGAAAGATTTAGCTTAAGGCCGTTAGACGAAGACCATTTGCTAATTTCTGATAGAAAGCTATCGTTGAAGAGAGATTTAAACATCTCAGGAAGGTCTGTATATTATATGACTCAATTTCAACACAGAACTTTGTACAGAAGTCCAACAGTTCAAGTTGCCACAGTCTATATAGCACATAACTTGAAACCAGTATAGAAATCTTCTACACTCAACATAAACAACAAGATTCGCGTTTTCAACACCAGTGTCAAGTTGGTCCTTCTATATTGGGTCAGAAACTTGGCACATAACGAAAAGCATTTCTTATAGGTTACAGTCTCCGCCCGCTTTATACTGAAGGTCAAATGGCTGGCGGTAAAGAATTAGTAACAGCAAACTCTGGCTTGGAACAAACTATTCGAAAGCCTATCGTTCAACTAGTATGCAGGAGTAAATGGAGATGGATGGGGATGTGCATACATTGAGGAGGTCGTGGAATGACATCGTGCGCAATGCAGGCCATCGCTCGAGTGGAATCACAATGGGAAGCGAAGAGTAGGTCGTTGATATGAGGGTGACATAGATGAGATCATGTAAGACAATCGTGGACCCAGATGAAGAGAATGGCAGAAAATAGAAGAAATTATAAATGTTTTGTTGAAGCTGTTGAAGCTCCACTTCGAAACGAAGGGAATAATAAGAATTCAGCACAAAAAGGAATACAAAATAAAAAGAGAAAACTGAGATTCAATAATAAACAGAAATGTACAGAAGAAGGAATATTAACATGGAAAAACATATGAGGGTTTAATTGATATAGCAGATCACAAAGAGTGGATGCATCTGCATCATTGAAAACAATTCCTAGCCAAATATCACCGACAGTGTGAAAGACTTCTTCCAGGTGACAGTCTTCATCCCTTTACATGGCTGAAACCAACAGTCTCTAAGACTCCACGAATTGATGTCATGTATTGGTTTGACAACTAACCACCTAACTCTTTCTCAAACTAACCCCATATCAAGTAACATTACTGAAAAAGGAAAGCAATGTCTTGGCCATGTGAGTAAATGTTAGAAAGCTGATTAGAATTCTCTTTCAGTGAATCTATTCCTCAAAATCCGTGTCTTTCTATGTAGATTGAAATGATGCGTGAATAGGACTGACCACACTCGAATAACTAAATAACTGACTCATCTGGCTATCAACCAAAGGGCATGTGTACTGCTCGGCACTCCTCTCCGTCCTTCTTTATGGTTGGCTGTGAGACCTGGCCGTTCAGAGCGAAAGACATGAGAAGCCTAGCTGTCTTTGATCATAGGTGCCTGCTTTCTATCTCCTGTGTGAAGTGGTACAATAGGGTGAGCAATATTGAGGTTATACACCAGTCGAGTGCTAGGTAAGGTAAGGAGGACAAAATCAATCCACGGGGTTGTGAAGTTATATCGACTGAGATGGTTAGGACATGTGTTACGCATGTCTAGCCATCAATCGCCTTCCTCGACTGACGGGCAATCTTAGCTAACATAGAATGGATGAGGTTGGAAAAGAGCTAGTGGTGGTCAAACCAAAACATGGCCTCATCAGTCAATGAAATCCACAACAGTTAATTTGAGCCAGTCACGTAGAGAAGTGTAAACTTCTTGGGTGGGGTCCTTGGGACGGTAAACACCATTATTTTTCTCCCTTCACTCGGACTTTTGTTTATTATCTCTCTTTAATCTCTTCTCTTGCTTTGTGTCCTACATGGAGGGAGAGAGTGGCAACTTGAACTACTGCACATCGGTGCAAAGTCTTATGCTGAAAACAAACAATCAGTCAGTCAGTCAATTTTTCTCTTGATAATTCTCGAATTATATCTCTCAGTGTATATGAGAAAAACAAACTTGGATGTAATATTTCTTAGTCTAGTATAGGAAAATATTGATAAGCTGTAAGTACTTTTTTCGCTAGACGATTTATCAAGGTCTGTGACTGACTGACTGACTGAATTTCAACATAGAACTGTGTACAGAAGTCCAACAGTTTGAATCGCTACACTATTCCATATTAGTTTGTTTATTAGATGTATCACACAGTCAGTGAAACAGTATTATTCACTGGATGACATTTCGAACAAAACTTATCACTGTTCATATTCATTTCATCAATTATAATCACACGACTTCGAAACTTGAGTTTTATAGTTTTCTTTGTTCTCTCCTATTTGTCGTAGGAGATAAACAAAGCTTCTGTTATCAATCTCTCCTTCCACCCTGTGAGATTAGATTTTAAAACTGTCATCTTATCCCATCCCATTCTATTGTATGGTTGTGTGTAATTGCATGTAGTGAGTGGTATAGCTGAACTATTCTCTAGATTCATTATCTTATTCGGGTCAGCTAATCTAGATTTTGCTAGGTTTTTATGCTCGGTTAGTCTGACTGTCCCTGTTCTACTACTTTGACCTATGTATTTGACCTGACAGTCATTGCAGCAGGGTATTAGATAAACGAAATTGTTTTGTTTTATTGGCTCCACTGGCAAGATGCGTTAACCGACAAAGCTTGTTTTTAATTGAGTTTGTAGGTGGTTTGAATGATAGCCACTTTTATTTCTGCCAGCATTGTTAAGAATTCTGCGTAGGGTGGTTTTCGAGGTTCCTTCCTTGTATGGAATTACTACTGATGATTTAGATTCCTTATTGTTGGTGTTGTCGAATCAACTGCAAACACATGTAATAGGAATGATTCAACACCTGTCCAGTCGAAGATCTGGAAAATTCTACTACCCCAACGACGACAAAATAGGAGAGAACAGAGAAAACTATAAAACGGAAGTTTCGAAGTCGTGTGATTATAATTGATCACATGATTATGAACAGTAATAAATGTTGTTCGAAACTGTGTCATCCAGTGACCAATAATACTGCTTCACTGTGTGATATACCTAATAAACAAACTAATATGGAATTACTTACTACCACAGTGCCCACATTTTACACATGTATTAATGCTGCACTCTATGTCAGCATATAAATGAGCAGATATGTGAGTCAGGAAGAATTGTAATATGAAAAAAAAACATGACAGTTTATTGGTCATAGAAGATCACGGATCTACGCCACTGAATATGATTTTGAATCAGATCATCAATAGTCTTAATGTATTGACTCTTAGAATCCCTAGGACCTTAACGACGAAGTTGCCTACATTTCTCAGTGTGACTGGTTCAGTGTAACCGTCAAGGATTTCATGAACTGATTCCATTTTTTCCCTATTGGTGTGACCATGACTTTAGCTCTTTTCCAACCTGATCCTATGTCAGCAGCTAACATTGACTATTGAGGAAAACGATAGCTCGGTTTAAATTCCTGTGAAATATTCAAAGATTATTATTTTTTAACAGTAAGGTTCAAATGAATCATGAAAATTTTCACGTCGAAAAAAACATGAGTGTTTGCATAACACTGATTTCGTAGAAAAAATGAAATGAATTAATCCTAGTAATTTGTGTGTTTGTCGTGTTCAGAGGCGAAAACCTGGCGTTCTAGTTGACTGGCTGACTGGTTTCAACATAGGACTTTGCACCGATGTGCAGCAGTTCAAGTTGGCACTCTCCCTCCATGTAGAACACAAAGCAAGAGAAGAGATTAAAGAGAGATTCAAAAAAGACATACTAAACAGAAATGTTTGGCAAAAAGAATAGTAATATGGAAGAACAATAGGGTTTTATTGAATATCACAAATGACAAAGAGTGAATGTATCTGTGACACTGAGAACGGCTTTGAGCCATATCGCCAATTATCTCCAGCCTCCATTGGTTTCTTCTATCTATCCTGAAAGACCCCACCCAGGAAGTTTACACTTCCCTGCGTGACTGGCTCAAATTAATTGTTGTGGATTTCATTGACTGATGAGGCCATGTTTTCGTTTGACCACCACTAGCTCTTTTCCAACCTCATCCATTCTATGTTAGCTAAGATTGCCCGTCAATCGAGGAAGGCGATTGATGGCTAGACATGCGTAACACATGTCCTAACCATCTCAGTCGATATAACTTCACAACTTAGTGGATTGATTTTGTCCTCCTTACCTTACCTAGCACTCGACTGGTGTATAACCTCAATATTGCTCACCCTATTGTACCACTTCACACAGGAGATAGAAAGCAGGCACCTATGATCAAAGACAGCTAGGCTTCTCATGTCTTTCGCTCTGAACGGCGAGGTCTCACAGCCAACCATAAAGGAGGACGGAGCGAAGTGCCGAGCAGTATAAAGGCCCCTTGGTTGATACTCACTCGGATATCACGTCTATGCCAGATACGGAGTAAACTGGCATACGCGAAACTCTCCTTTCTGTATCCTTTCTGAGATTTTGTTAGCGATCAACGCACTGGTGTTGGCTAATGCGATTTCCTATAGTAAGTGAAGTGATCAACACGCTATACCACTTCACTCCCTATTTCTAATCTAGGAGTCAGTGTAGTCCAGTCCTGTAGCATCATCTTTCTAGTTCTAGTTAAGTAGATTACAGGTAACTACCACTAGTACTCTGTTGGATATGCCGTTATCTATCCTCACAGTGATAATTACTGTTTGTGTTTATGAGTCCGGTGAAAGGCTGATTTGTCTCGAAGATGTTAATTAATATTCACTATTCTATGAAATTTCTGCTCCTCTTCCTCCTTCTCCTAAATACATTTGAAAAAGAACGAGAAAATGTGTCAATAGTTTCTTATAGTTGACATCTAAATTTTGATCGCATTATTAGAAGACGGTTGATAATCCATTACGTCCATTTCTTTCAATGTGTAACTCTCCTACACATAAATTACCAAAATGGTTAGCCGATATTTTAAGTCCAGTACGCAATGAATTATGTAAGTTTACTGTGAAGGATACATTTGAACTTGTTGATTGTCTTGTAGATATGAACATAAAAGATAGGAAAATGTATTCATTTGATGTTAATTCTTTGTTTACTAATGTACCACTGGTTAAGACTGTTGATATTCTTTGTGACTATATATCTTCTAGGTGTTTTTCATTTCCTTTTCCTTCAACTTATTTGAAAGGTTTATCACTATTATGTACTGACAAAGTCCATTTCACATTTGAAGGTGAACATTTTCGACAAGTAGATGGCGTTGCTATGGGGAGTCCATTAGGACCTTTGTTAGCGGACGTTTACATGTCTTATGTTGAAAACTTAACCTTTGATTTAATTTCTAAATTTCCCTTCCATAAGAGATATGTAAATGACATCATTTGATATGCGACGATGGTGAAGATGCGAGTCGTCTATTAGACAGGCTTAACTCTGTGCAGAATCATATTAGTCTAACGTGCGAGGAAGAAAGTCGCAACCAGCTTGCATTTTTAGACATACTTCTGTGTCGAAGAGATTATGGCTCAATAAGACGGTCTATCTACAGAAAGCCCACTTGGACAGGGCAATACCTTAATTTTCACAGCTTCTGTCCATTAGAGTAGAAGAGAGGCTTGGTGAAGTGTCTATTTAAGAGGATTCAGCGTATTTGCACGGCTGATGTTATAGACACAGGAAATGAAATATTGATGGATACTCTTGTTGAAAATGGATATCCTTTAAAATCTTTAAACAGGTGTAGAATTCAACTAGTCTCTAAACCTACAATCCATACCGCCCCTAAGGAAAAGGTTTTCATCAAATTACCATATAACTGGGAAATAAACAGTAGGATTTTGAGGCAAAGTTTGAATTCGATCATCCGTAGAACCTACTATGCAGCCCAGCTTGTAATTGTGGAAAAAGTTAAAAATATGCTTCACTGTAAACCTCAAAAGTGCACAAGTGATTATATCACATCCCACACAACTTACCAATTTTCGTGTGTGTGTGGACATACAAACATAGGGAGGAGTAATCGCGCTTTGCACTTGACGGTGGGAGAGCATATCCCAAAATGTTTAGAAAAACAGATGAATTGTGACAAAACAATAGATGCAGGTGTCAGATAACCAACTTCGTCTATAGCTAAACATCTAATCGAGATGAACCATAAGATTGATATCAACTCAGCCTTTAATGTCATCTATAAAAACGGTCAAGGGCGTTTACTGAAATACGCTGAGGCTATAGCTATTCATAAACCTAAGCCCCCCCCCCCCTGTGTATTTAAAAGCAGTTTGTTATTACTCTTAACCTACCTTGGTAATCCTTATCTGATTGGACTACCAAACATTGTGTTAATTATTCTTAATGCTTTTTTTGTCACTTTGTTTAGTTTAACTTTTCCATATATATTGACTTGACAAGTAAATGTGTGGGGGATCAGATTGTTCGATATGTATAGAGCCAATACATCCCATTTTTCAGATAATCTCCGACTTCTAATAATGCTATCAAAATTTATAAAAGGGACTAGTTATTTTCAATTGACATCTAAATGTCAAACAGGATAATTTCTGTTTTAAAAGGAAACTGTCTAAATCACAAATAACTGTGTACTTTGTAGCACTAGTATAACATTAATCCATATGGCCTTTCTGCAGTGTTGTGTGTCATATACACCCAAAACTCCATTCGTGATTGTCACTCAGTCTACCACGATTATATTTCCTTGTTATAATATATATATATATATATAAGCACAGTTTCGTCCACATCCAGCGTGTGCATATCGACACGCTACTCCCAAGTACCTGGGTCATGTTGTTCACTTTTTCTCCCTCTTAAGAAGTGACATTCTCTGCAGTGTCAATAAAATACTGTGAAATTACTAGATCTGGATGAAATCAGTAAGGTGATTCGTGGACAACTGCTTATCCATAACTCCGTGGATTAACTAACGAAGAGGCGGCTCCTCATCTGATTGATGTTGATCTGATCAATGTTATTGCTGTGTCCATTCACTTGAGTGGGTTGCTATATTAGTTTAGAATAACTCATATTGATTGATATCTCTTGTAAAAATTAATACTTTTTCGTTTGTTTTTTCCTTCACTTTCTATATAGCTCGACTTAATAATCCTGAAATCAATGTTAACAATCCAGAGGAAATATTATCAGAGAGTAGATGTGTATTAAATTTAAAATATCTTCGTTATTTATGCAATCTTTATTTAATTTAATCGTTTACAAATAATGTACAGTTTTTCGTTTTTTAAAAAAGTTTATTTTTATACTTTTTTATATTTTAAATAAACTATTGAGTTATTGGAGTTGAGTACTTCTCAATTTTTTTAAGGGGTTGGACTGTAGAACATTTTCTTCATGTGTCACATTGATAAACTTGAAAATATTTTTTCCTTCCCGTAGTAGATTTTTAAAAAACAAGCAATAACTGTGAAAAATAACAGCAGTATTTAATAAATTCATAACTTTTGGTAAAAGGACTCATCAACTGAATACTCCTCTGCAAACATTGTTATTTATACAATTCGGCCTTAAGGTTAAATGCTCACAAGCACACAAGAACATTGTGACTACGAATAAGTATCTCAATTTGTGAATATATAAACGATCTATACGTTTTGTGAGTGATAATCTGTTAACACCGGGAAAGTTAAACTTTTGACACCACTAACAACCAATCAGCGAACGACCTTGAACGGACCAATCACATTAAAGAGGTATTTATGGTAAATGGAAACGTATATTTATAGAAAAAAGCATAAAAAACGGTTACAAGGGGTATCTTTCTCGAACATGTGAGAGAAACATCTCCCAGTTTAGCATGGGACTGTCAATGGAGAAGTCACACCACATCCTGTACATAAATTCATCTAAATGACTATAAATGAGATCCATTTATAGCCCTTATCCGGTTTCTCAAGCGGCTCCAAAACCCTTCAATGGAATTCATATGAGTCTTCGTAACGAGATCCACCCAACAAACAAATGATTTTCCCTATTTTCCACGAAGCAATATCTCTGCAATGCTGGTACCACTGAACTGTTGAGACGAGGCTATTCTCCGTCTCGGCAGCTGCTGCTCTCACTGGCTGTTTCAACACCCAGTAGTTGCAGATATACAAAATCTGGGTCAGGAAGAGATACGACCTAGCGAAAAAAGTTCCTACGAAATATTAAAATTATCAGCTTACCTCTCGGCAACTCCAAAGAATAGCAGCCTAAACCGAAACTACCTAGTGAACGGACAAATGACCCTGACAAGGACAACTTCGACCAATCAGAAGGCTCAAAAAAATCGGCGCATAATTGTAATAAGTCGTTTATATATAAGGAATGCAATGTTAAAAAATAGTTACAAAGATCAACGTTCTCGTATATGCTTCAAAAAAACCTCCCAATTTCTCATAGGAGTCTTGATTCTCATGTTAAACCAAGTCCTGTAGATAAACTCATCGAGATAACTTTATATTATTGCATTTCTTGATCTATTCACAGATCTGATACGTTTTTTTAGAATACTCCAGAAGCTTTCAATGAAATTGGTGTGATTTCCATCAAAAGGATCTAGAAAACCATTTGTATGGTTGACCACCTGATGAATATAGCCCAGATTCGATAACTGACTGTAACTACTCCATTCATCTGTATAAATAGTCGTCCCAGGCAGCACTAAGCGCTGGATAATAGACAATAATACCCTGCACTGCGATTAGGGATCGCCTTAATGTATCTTTTCTGGACACCTATTGCTGATTCACACGCCATCTCCCTCAATTGTATTTTCTTATCAAAAGTACCTAAGGAATCTGTATATTATAAACGAACGATATAGGTTCTCGAACAGTCCGTTCTGCAAACAGTAATCAAAACAAGTTCCGGAGCAAATTTGCAACGCAAAAGGTGTAGAGCATCCATAATTACCTCTGGAAATAACAGAGTCACCTGATTCCTTGCTCAAGGTCACTTGTGCGTTCAAAGGTCGTTTCGGTTTGGGCTGCTATTCTTTAAAGTTGCCACCCTCTCTAATGTTAGCAGACTTCAAACATATAGCACAAAGATGAACAAATCCATCAGTTGATCTGCTATAGCTTTTTAAAGTCATGATGCCACCACACGAACAAGTTCGCTCCTTCCGGAGCAACCCTAAATCCAGGCAATGCTGGAAACACACTGTCCTCCTCGAATTGCAACCGTAACCTTGTAAGGCCACGCATTAGAAATGAATCAAGCGCTATACAACATTGAACTACGTTCGTGAATCTCATTAGATAATTCGACGTCGTTCGCTGATTGGTAGTTAGTGGTGTCGAAAGTTTAACTTGGCCTTAACACCATTATTAAGTGAATAATATTCAGCCACTGGGACCCAATTCAATTCATGCCTAGCCCATGAATTCTAGCTTCTACCAATTCGTGATTTTAACGGCAACCATCAGCCTATGTCATCGGTGGGAAATCCATCCTAACTCCTGACTAGAAGGACTCCACTGGTCACGACTTCTCACTAGAACTCCAGGAAACTCTGTCCTGTAGTCAGTCACTAGTGACCATCAGATTAATTTTCGAGAGTTAATTTATTTTTCAAGTTTGACCACGGATTGATATCAGTTAGTGAACCATTAAACATCAACAGCGAGTAATGGACAACCGTTTCATCCTAGTTTGGGAATCATCGGAAGTACACACCATGAACTCCCTGGTTATCAATAGTTCTCTAACTGATATCAATCCGCGCTCTAACTTGAAAAGCAAATCAACTCTTGAATAATATTCATCAAGGTACATATTAATATATAAACTGGAGTTATTGTGGTAGACTGTAATTATCCAGAACCTAGATATTACGAATTTCTTGGAATAATTTCACATCCGAGTCAGATTAAATCATTATAAATTATTTAAAAAATAATCCCAGCATGTTTAAGAAAAAAATGAAAGCTAAATTTTTCTGATGAAATTTTGGCTTCGTAAGCCACAACTTCTTCAGCAGAATTATTCGGACTTCATTGACCACGGTTAATAATACTTCGAACACTACTCACCAAGATTAATACTCAACTATGAATTTTTTGATTTGCACATAGCCTAAGAAGGCGAACAGTATGTCTGATAAAGTAATGATCATAATAAATGGAAAAAACATTGTAAAGAGAAGTGGGAAGCTGCGGGGGGGGTCAATAAAAGTGTGCTACTAAGGTAGATTTAAGATAACTACTGTCTTCTTTTGTATGTGTAGATCCGGCTTCTTCAATCTGATGACGCAGGCTTCAGCAAAATGAAGAGCTTTTTTTATATTACCTTGCTTATTAACAACTATGAAGCTTTTACTCAACTTCACTGTATGATCACAGTCCAGTAAGTGTCGTGCGATTGGCCTCCGTAGGATGCCATCAAGAGTACTAGAATGCCATTCGAGGCAGTGTTCAACAACGCAAGATGAAAGACATCCCTCCGCCATAGTATTGTTCTTGGATGATTGAAGGCTATCGGCAGGTAGTCTTCAACCTAGGTTTCGTATCAGAAAGACGCGTCCTCATTACTGAAGAGAATAACATCCCTTCTGAAATTTGAACCAGTTCTTCAGTCAGATACATTACGACTGAGCTATTCGACCTCGTGATTGATCTTCTGTAGGATTGTAATGTATACACTTTGACTGAACACTAGGCAATCACTAACGTCATGCGTCTAATCCTTCGTAACGGGGCACACTGAATTCTATCAGTCAGTATACGTCTTGATCGCGAATTCCAAAAAGCACGAAACTTAGTTCCAAGTCTTTGTACCGACTGACTCCAACCGTCTAATACCAACAATTCAGTGTGCATTGTGATGGCAAGTCAGAGAGCCAACGATCATGGTGTAGCCACATTCAAAACTTGACTGTTTGAATTCAGTAGGGCCCAACACCAAAGGACTAACCACTCATGACACTGGATACTTCCTAGTGTCCAATCAAAGTACTGCTACAGTACATTTGACTGATAATTTATTTCCCATCGGGCTACCATACTTCTAAGCATAATACAAAATAATGATAACATACAGTATAATTCTGCAATGGTCAAATACGTGTTTGAGTGATGCATAGTTGAGCATATAGTTCATAAACACTCAGGATTTTGGAGATAATATTTGAGTGAATATATCCTCCACTCACTTTCTTTTACTCTGTTGAGATATATTCTTATAACTGTTCACAAGTTCTCTGCACTTTCCACTGTTATTATTCCTTTAGGTTCCGAGGGGAACATAAGGGCTTCCTTCATCAGCATATCTCCATTTCATCCTGTTCTCTGCATTCCTATTTAGCTGGCTCCAAATTACTTGTTGCTAATCATTTCTGGCCATTTAATCTTCTGTACTGAGCTATGTCAGTCGTTGATGATGCTTTGTGGTAACACTTCAATTCTTTGAACCATATAAAAGCACTGACTAACATGATATTTTTTTATTCCTTGACGTCCCAAGTGGGACGTAGGGTTTCAAGCTAGAGCTTCTAAGTTTCAGTGGCAACTGGTTTTATTTTTAGTGGGTGAGGTTGCTAGTCTGACGCCCAACCTTCCGTCTCTACCTACTTAGAGAGGTTTGGGAATGAATCTGACCACGTATGTGATTGGCGAGCGTTCTACGCCCAACCACCGACTGACTTGACATTAGTTTCCTGTGTGCTTATTGCAGTGCATTTCTACTATGTCATCTTTAATTCATTGTTTTGCTGATTAGTTACTGATTTTGGTTGTACAGCTAATTTGTATTTTAGCGCAATCATTCCTTCTTTCTTATGCATGACTTCTCTTGACCGAGATGTTACCGTGAGTTGTGTAACATAGATTATTATCTCAAGGGGAATCAGACTACCTGTCTGACCTTAATTTGTAGAAACTCACGAAAAGAAACTTCTGTCTTAAATACAAGGAGTACTTTACGAGAAAGTGTCCACCTGAAACGTACTAGGTGATTTATTAGACAAAAATATTGAATAAGTATTTTGCTTCATTCTATATCTCACTTTAATCGGTTCAGTCAGAAAATATTGTCAACTTAGACGTTGACCAATACTCTATAGAAGAATGATTCATCACATTACACGTACTATGCTCTCGACGAAAGACAAGTTCACTCTGAAATAATCGTTAAAGAACGTATGGATAGATGCTCATTTCAGCTGTACACTTACATATAGCTTCAGTCAGTGACTAGTCTGTAAGTGCCTATGTCACCCTCTAGATACTCCTTAACGTAAGCACCTAATAAACTTGCTTTCCTCAGGTAACCCTTATCAGTACTCTACCTAGCATGTAAGTACCGATAAACGAACTCGAAGTAAAAAAAGGCTTGTGACTATGTAGTGTCCTCAGGTGAGGATTATATCTTTACCACAGACAAAATGGCCAAATTTAATAGATAAGAATACTGTACAACTTATCAGTTAACTGGCTTGGACGGCAAGCTCAACAGTGCGCTTA